GGGTATTTCAGAGCTCCAGCCCCTCATTTTGGGTATTTCAGAGCTCCAGCCCCTCAGTTTGGGTATTTCCCAGCTCCAGCCCCTCAGTTTGGGTATTTCAGAGCTCCAGCCCCTCATTTTGGGTATTTCCTTTGGAGAGGACGCAGCTCCAGCCGCTCTCGGCTCCCCGGGCGGCTCTGCCCGCGGTAGGTGCAGCAATCCCGGTTTCCCGTTTCCCGTTTCCCCACCGGGATCACAAAGAGCCGGATTAACATGCAGCAGCGCAGCAGCAGTGCAGCAGCAGCAGCAGCAGTGCAGCAGCAGCAGCAGCAGTGCAGCAGCAGCAGTGCAGCAGCAGTGCAGCTGCAGCAGTGCAGCTGCAGCAGCAGCAGCAGCAGCAGCAGCAGTGCAGCAGCAGCAGCAGCAGTGCAGCAGCAGCAGTGCAGCAGCAGTGCAGCAGCAGCAGTGCAGCTGCAGCAGCAGCAGCAGCAGTGCAGCTGCAGCAGCAGCAGCAGCAGTGCAGCAGCAGCAGCAGCAGTGCAGCAGCAGTGCAGCAGCAGCAGCAGCAGTGCAGCAGCAGCAGTGCAGCAGCAGCAGCAGTGCAGCAGCAGCAGCAGCAGCGGCGGCGCTGCGAGGTTTGAGGCGCCCCCGGGGAAGTTCCCGCTGCGCCCCCGGTTTTAATTAACGGCGCTGGAGCGAGACCACCCCGGCAAGGGGAGGACAAACACCAAACACGGCGCTGGATGCTGCCAGTGAGCCCCGGACCCCGCCCGGACAGCGGGGCTGAGCAGGGACAAACCTTCCTAAAGGCCGAGGAGTATCTCCCAAAAATAATTAATTCCTGAGGAATATTTCGGAATGATTTCCGAGGAGTATTTCAGAATAATTCCTGAGTAATATTCCGGAATAATAATTAATTTCTGAGGAATATTTCGGAATAATTCCTGAGGAATATTTCGGAATGATTTCCGAGGACTGTTTAGGCCGAGGCACACTAAAGCCAGTCCCGGCAGCACAGCCCGGGGCCGCGGGGCTGGCTGGGCTCCCGGGGCTGCTCCTGCCTCCATTCCCTTCCCTTCCCGGGGCTGCTCCTGCCATTCCCTTC